AAATCTTATTTGTTCAGTTGGAATTTCAAGTTTGGCTGCATGTCTAGCTTTGAAGTTTCTATATGTTTCAATTTTCAAAACTTCAAATTGTGGAACTTTAGATAGCGGATCATTAAAATTAGCAACACCATAATCTTGGTGGAGATTAAGAGTCTTTGAGGTTGCAATCTGAAAATAATAGTTTAGATAAAAGGTTATATTTATTATAAATATTAAATTCATTATTATCTGACCGAGTTACCTTGACATACAACAAATATTTTTTTTCTTCTGATTCTTTCTTTTCCTGCTCATCGAGATGTCTTTCTATTAAAACAAAAAAATAAATTCACCACCAAATCTAAAATGCGATACCTTAAAAGAATACTTACGCAAATTTTTCGGTATATCTTCAGGATGCATTGGAGATAATACATTGTCGATATCAGACTCACGGATATATACTAATACATATGCACTTGAGAGTCCGCTCCCATAATTATTTTCAAGTACTTCTTTATCAGTTACGGGTATAACTCTATCATCATCAAATTTTAGCCTGTTAAATATGACTAACATTAATTATCTGATAATTATACAGTCTAAATATTAAGAAATTAATGAATTGAAATTAAAACCATTTGCCATTCTTATTTGGTTTTATTAAAACAAAATATCGGCCTCCATAACAATAACCACTATGAACAAGTACTCTGAAAACAATAAAAGGTATGAATATTAATCTATTATGAAAAAATTTTCATTAAAGGTATCCTACTGTTACAAACCCCATAAAGTAAATATTTATGCTGCTTTGTTTTGTCTGCTTCTGATGATAAATATTTTTCTAAATCAATTTCCATGGGAAACTCAAAATAATTATGTATCTAAACAATAAATTAATGTTAAAAGTTATAGTAATAATAGGTCGTAATCAGAACTGAAAATATATAACAAGTAAAATTTCGGAGTTCAGGTATTAGACTAAATTTTATACCAAAAAAAGCAGTTTTTTTTTAATTATAACCGGTTCTCTTTTGACCGGAGTATATTTGTGACTCGAAGCTTTTGTTTTCCGAAATGTTTTAATTTTTCTAAAATTACAGCTACTTTCATAAATTCTGAAACTAAAATTTATTTGCCCCCGAAACTTTAATTTTATCTTAAAGATAAGATATTAGAAAATGACATAGTTGTCTCCAGAACAAGGTTCTAAAGAAAGCGACGTAGTTTCTAAAGAACTTTGTGATTTTTAGGACGAGACAATAAAGTCTCGGGAAATCAAAAAAATTTTAGCTTGTCAAAAATTTGAGAATATCTGTAAAGCTTCGAAATATAAACTGTGTAATTTGATTTTCGGATTAGGTATTTTCCAATATGTTTTATTTCAGGTCAATTATATAGCTAAATCCTATTTTCAGCACTGGTTATAATAAATTAAATAATTTAGATGCATACCTTATTAACAGTAGCACTTTTTA